CAGGTGAGCCCACCACATGCCCATTGCTAATTGTATACGTCCCGGAGAAAAATTGCATTGTTAGATCGCGTCAGTGAATTACAATGACATTGAAAGGCCCCACAGGGCAATCTTGCATCTTAAATCGTTAATTCACCGTTCCCTGTCTTGCTTTTGACTCATTTCATCTCATAGTATCAACTAGCTAGGCCAGTCACCACCAGAGCCAATTCCACCAAAAAACGTCACAGATTCTTCATCTGAGGTCATACGAGGTCAGGTTAGCCTGGATAAGGGTTGTCCCGGACAAACGAGGAGCCGCGAGGATGCAAGACAAGGCGATAATGAGAAAAGAACAGCGGATAGCGGCCGTTCTTCATGCCAATGACAAGTGCAGCAATCAGGTTATGACCTTTAGGTTATAATGCTAGTCGCGATCATTAGACAGTCTGTGGTAAAGAGAAGCTGATTTGTAACGAGGTGATCAATTGGGGTCGGGTTTGATCTAGGATGTGGTGAACTTTCAATCACCTGGCTTATCAAGAGACTACTAAGTTGCAGCATGTATGCGGCTTTTCCTGCTTTGGTTAGTCGCAGGACGTCGAAAACGGCCCGGGCTGCTGGTTCCCCGGTGGCCGATGGATGGCTCTAATGACGACCTGGCTCTACGATGGCTCTGATGTCGAGCCGGCGCATTCACCCTCGCCATCAGGCTGCTGCAGTAGCTGACACTCTCGCCATCAGAATGCTGCGGTAGCTGACACCCTCGCCATCAGACTGTTGCAGTAGCTGACACCCCCGCCATCAGACTTCTGCGGTGGCTGACACCCTGGTCATCAGACTGCTGCAGTGGCGCAGTCTGAATGCGCCATATTTTGCGCTGAATTCCTGCTAAGTGGTCCGGTATATTGTGTAAGCCCCTTGTCTCAGGGGTAGCGGCAAGACACATTATCTCCCCCTTGGCTGCGTACCGGGTGCTTACATTATGCACATAAATGATATTAAGATTTCTCGCCCCAGCTTTTTTTGCAGCTTGAACGTATTGGAAGTGTTATCTTTATGAATATAGCCTCTAACATATTTCGTTTTCGAGAACAGCGCGTTGGTTAGGGTCCACCCTTCCGGTGACGGTGAAAACAGCTCCTGTCTTGAGAGGGATGCTGAGGTTCTGTGTGGGGAGTTTGAAAGACACGGTGCTACGTTGTTTTAGACGATATATATATATATATATATATATATATATATATATATATATATATATATATATATTGATTCGGGAGGCGTTCGAGATTCATGGATGGTAGCCTCATCAACATATGGATGTATATATATATATATATATATATATATATATATATATATATATACATATATATTCAAAATGTCATTGCTGTAATCCATTGGATTTGAATCCGAAGACTGGCATCGTTTGGCATGTTTGTTTAAACTGGACACCAATTTGCGCATCCATCGGTTGGTTCACCTATCTAAATGCGAGTACACCGAGCCCTCTGATATGACGCATTTCCGTGACGCATGGTGGTACTCATGAACGTCAGGGCATCACCGTTAGGGTGTAAACACGCAGTAAATGTCAGGGCGTTTGCACCCAGCAAATACGGGCGTTACCGTTGCCCCAATTTTGTGGTATGATGCTTGCCAGTCACTGGGTAAGGATTATTTTCTTGATAATTTGCGTGCACTTTTTGCATGTTTTTTTGCGCTTTTTACGCGACAGTCTTTCAGGATGCTCTCTCGCAAAGGTGTCAGACATCGTCGATGAAAATTCCACACAGTTGGGCTGACATGCTGACCAGGCGAATGTTGCACTTTTTTGGAACTCCAACATCTTCTGAAGTCCAATTTGAGAATTGGACGGACGAGGGCAGGCATTTCTGGATTATTCTGAACAGCCGGTGTTATCCTGTCGTATCGCATACTTAAAGTGCATGCGTCGCAACTTATTTAATGCAGAGAAACACCACTTACCCACGATCGTTTTCTTTTCTTCATTTATTCCGCGAGCAATGACTGGGGTTATTGGTAGCGAACAGTACCTTTTCGATATGGAAGTTGAAAACTTTTAGACCAGCTGATTTTTTACACTTTCTCAACGGAAAGCTGGTCCATCCTTGGACCAAGGACTTTACTTTTGACCAGTGTTTTCTTAGAAAACAGTACCTCTTTTTTCGACCGCCGTTCCGGGATGCAAGTAGTGAAAGACAGTCAGTAATGCGCCCGGAAAGAAACGGCTCTGATAAACGCTCCTGGCAAGAGGGTCTTTAAGAGACCATTGAATGTATCTCTACCTTACAACGAACGGGGAGTTGGTCTAAGCGCCTGACCTGTACTTTGAGTCGCAGTTACCACTAATCTGCCAATCATTTGCAACCAATAATGCATTTGCAGCCAATCAAGATATCTTACGACCAATCAAGATCATTCACAACCAATCGGGGTCATTTGCAATCAATCAAGATCATTTACAGTCAAAATTATTTGCAACCAATTTGCCATCGTATTGCGTGGCCTGGGATCCCACAATATGCGGGCAAGTTAAACCATGCTTAAGAAGGTGCCCGCTAACCGGTTGGCACAGTATCCGCTAGCACATCCCAGAGAGTTGTTCGGCTGACTCTGAGTTGACAACCCGGTCCGAGTGGTCCGACTCACGAGCGAGCAGCGAGAAAGTGCTTGGTAAACGGGCGTCGCGTCGTTGAGCCAGCTGGAGACGCTGGTTGAGCTCTCAGTTTTCGCCCCGGGTGACTCTTCATACGGGCGCGTCATAGAGGTCACACAGGTCGTCGATTGGCCTGCTGCCAACCACATCGCTGAAGGGGTTCGGCGGGGTCAGAAGCCGGTCACGTGGTGACAAGGAACCAATATCACTGGTGCCCGCGTGCCGCCAGAGCATGGCACCGAGCAAGTAACTAACTGGCGTTTTTTTGGATGAACGATAAATAAAAAACCCGAAACTGCGGAACCGTGCCGCCATCGATTAAGAAATGTGCATGGCGTTAAAGTATGATCTTGGTGAGGCGAAGCCCCTCATCTTTTTGATCAAGAAGTTTTCTTTGAGTTCTGCCAAGCACACAATGCGCCGAAAAGCTGTTTCCGAAGAAATGCATAGGTTTGTTTTGTTTTAAACGCGCCATTACCTTTCTGCCACCGGCATCATAATTTAAAATTAGGAAGTTAAAAATTGCACTTGATTATTTCAATTCTTCACATTAGGTAGGCATGTGACATGCGGTCCATTACCAACTGGATGACGACTGTGCTTGCAGTAATTAAAGTCATACTTGTTTGTTTTCTGAAGGTGCTCTCAAAAGCCTGCATATACCCATATGAATTTTGTAGCATCGTGTGCCAGGTTTTGCGTGAAATCCATTGCTAAGACATAATTCCGATGAAGTCAGCTACGGCCGCATTGGGTGAAAAAATCCCAACGGAAGGCAAACATAATTGTAGAGTTAACTCCGACGTAAAGTGTCAGGCTCCAGGAGCCACAAACACAATACCCACGTGAGCGGCATGTTGAGATGGACGCTCCTTTCAAAAGAATGGTGCAGGCCGTTAACATAAAACGGTCAAACAACGGATACAGGCCATGTACATCACGCGATACAAGCAGGTAGTATGTGGTTGCGAAGAGCTGGGTGTCCTAAAGTTACATTAGTTTGAGCACATGTGTGCCAGATGAGATTTCCTACCTGTGATATAGTCATGAGTTGGAGCTATGGAGTTATAACGCAGGCTGCAAATTCCTTCGGCATTTGCAGCCTGCGTTATAATCGTGGGGTTTCCGTAAGGGTGTCCCATCGATGTAGCAATCGTTTCCATAGCGACACGTGGTGTAGGGGCCTTCGGTTAAGAATCTCTTTACCAAATGCACCCACGTCCAATGGGGTTGTGCCCGTACCCAACTGGCGCTTTTTCATAATCAGCAGCACCCCATCACGCAACGGCTTGGATTTTCATAAACCCTTCTCGTTACCCTTTCTGTATCAATATTCATGGGTCTGAATACCCATGGTCAGTCAGAACGTGAAGTCCTCTTACGCGATGCCAACTGGCCACTATAGTCTAATTTGCTCTCTCAAACACTGCCTTGAGACGACCCGTCGTCATTGGGGATTTGAAAGGAACATTCCACATCTGAATATATTAAAACAAGCGTGAGGTGTGGCGAAACAAGCTCACGTCTGTCTGTTGGCGTGATTTTAAGTGGAAAAAACCGCATTAGACAACACACTTTCTCTATTTACAAAAATGGCTCCCAATGCGCCATTGCTTGATTATGTCATCGCACTCTGGATTTGAGCTTCTTGACGGCCATGACATCTGGAAATTGTACTCACGAACGGCAGATATGAACGAATTGACAATTGTATTTTTACTGGCCTTGATCGCCGCATGGCCAATGGAGTGGCAGGAAATTGAATGACGTTATTAAGGCGTCATATATGCCTGTGCGATCTTCAAACATTCTCCCAAAATAGTATGCACATCTTCGCGGTCGTGTGACTAAAAAACTGGAGGGGTTTAGGTCTTAAAAAGGGCAGAACCGTACATTGTACCGAAATATTTTCAAGCTGCCCATTTCAGTTGAAAATGCCATACCAATGTGGAGCGCCCCCTTTAAGACGCACTCAGCAGCTGAGACTATGTTGCGTCGCCTGCCTCCTACGCTGGCAAAAACGAAGCGCACTGCGGGGAATCGAACCCAGTACCTCTGGTTTCCCAGGCGCGCAATGGTCAACGCAGACGCGTTAACCGCAACATTATCCCCTGCCCCCCCCCCCCTTGTGACGACTCATCCCTCCGTCACGCCTTTTTCGCCTTACTGCATACGCCATTCAGAACCCATCGCGCCACCTTGCCGTGCGACGCCATGAACCCACATGTCAGGCCCCTCCTCCCCACTTCCCCCATCACGTGACCGTGCGACCTATCAGGATGTCAGCCGTCATCGGCGCGCCCACGCCGACCGCCGCGGGGCATAAAGGCGGCGCCGCCACGGAGGTCCGCCGCAGTCGCCGCGCCACCCCTTCTGGCCCGACCATGCCGCGCCTCATCCTGCCAGTCCTACTGCTGGCTGCTCTGCTGGCCTCCGTCGCCCATGGCCACATCATGTTCTCCCGCAACGGCTGCGGCTGCCTGCGCAACCCCGTGGCGCGCGCGCTGGACGAGGGCGAGCTGGGACAGCTGCGGAACTACGTCTCCGGACGCGGGGTGACGCACAGCAACGTGCTCACGGACGCGGCCCTGCAGGCGGTGTTCCGCTTCAGCATCCTCAACAACTTCCCGGACGTAGTGCCGAACAACCGCGCTGGCGTCCTGCGCGTGGTGTCCCAGGGGTTCAACGAGCTCTCTGACCAAGTCCTGCCCGACGAGAAGCTCGTGGGCACGGTCGTGCAGCACCTGCGGAGCGGCGTCGCTGAGTTGACCACGAACAGGGCCAACATCGACTTGCCGTCGCTGGTGCCGGCGGCGGCGGTGGTGCTGCACCAGCGGGGCGTCGACCTTGGGGCCGGCCAGCTTCAGCAGGTGCTCAGCAACGGACTGTCCGGCTTCCTGCAGTCGCCGGCTTTCCAGGTGGGTCTGTCGGGCGCGATCGGGAAGGCCCGACGCGGTCTGAGAAGTTTATAGATGTACGGGGCGGGAGGAAGTGAAAGGAAAGGGCTGGATGGGCTAGTCAAAGTGGATTAGGAGAATACCGTGTCAAGGTTAGAGCAACAGTGATGACCTCGCAGCAGATGAGCCTTGCCGCCCCCTTAAGCGACCCTCCCAGTGTGACACTGTATATCGTCATTGCATCGCCATTGCGTCGCCTTCGCACTTTCCACTGCACTTTTTCCTTTACCAGCTTAATCGTGCCCGTGCTAGAAGCCAAACTGTAACGCCTTGTCTTGTGTAAAGCGCCCGGACTACCTATACGTTAGAAAACATGGAATCAATGATCACGTTCTCACGAACAATGAGTGCGTGAGAACGTGATCAGCATGACCTTGATCTAAATTACGCTCATGCTACAAGTGTCATATTCCAGGTCCTTTGTTCCTGATATCATTGACTTGCACGTAATGACGTGTTTGTCCAGGTTTGAGCTGTTATGACCTTACACTCTGATAGCCTTAGAAAACACATCATGAGTATCAATTAAGTTCATGCTATGTCAATTCCTCACCTTTAGAACCAACGGTCAGGGAGGGTACATTCAAAACGAGAAATGCGCTTCTGAGCGGTGATTTCCGCATGTTTACTGTGCAAAGCTTAAAAGCGAAGGCAAAGGTCTGTGACCTATTTTGTGAAAACCTGTAGCTTGCAGTTCAAATGCAAAAGCTCATCAATTAAATTATTCCTATTCACGTGAGTGACCACGAGAGATGCCTCTAAAAAATCGGAGTGCATTGCAACGCGCCGTGATCTGATCACCTAGCAGTCGACTTGCTAGGTCAAAATTTGGGTACGTTTTGCAGTTTTCTTACGTACTTTGTCGTATCTCCGGAATAATGGGGGTGGGGGAGGCTCAGTCATTCATGCACATGTATGTACATATGCATCGCGTGGCCTTTCCTGGCGAAATGAAAGATTGTTCAGGGTCACTACAAAACTTGCCATGACCTTGACATTAAAACCACTAATTTATTTTAGCGGTTTAAAAAATGTGACGAATCTTGACCTTTACCTGGAATAACCGTAACAGCACCTTACCTTGTCGCCGTCATTTTCATTTATAACGTAGTGGTTGTCATTGCCGATTTCATATTATGTCCAAAACTCGACCTGATTTCAACTTGACCTCGAGCATCGTTTCAAAAGTCACGAGCGCAGGTCTTGCTGGATATCTAACCACTCTGAACTGTCAGATCTACTCGACAATAAAATTTAACGCACAAAAAGGTTATGAAATAGAATGTAATGGCACGTTTTACAACTTTTTGACTAACTTGCACGGAACTAGCCTGGGGGAAAAATAAAAACGCAGCCAATAGCAAGCACACAACCTTGGAGCTGTGCGATTCAGTCGAGCTCCACCCCCCAGAAACGATGGTAGTACAGCCTGGGTAGTGATCGCAATGCCACACGCCACAATTTGCGCGTTCTGGGTCCGACGGCGCTGTCAAAACGTCAGGGAACTGTGAACGGCGGCTCGGCAGAGTCGAGCCTGAGGCAGGCGCCACTTCGACGGCAGTCAGCGGCTGCGTCATAAAACGGGGTACGAACTGACGCACTGGGCCGCGTCCTGTGGACACGAATACCAGAAACGGAGTCCGGACTGACGCACTGGGCCGCATCCTGTGGACACGGACACCAGAAAAGGGGTGCGGACTGACGCACTGGGCTGCGTCCTGTGGACACGGATACCAGAAAGGGTCTAGCGTTACTCACACGCCGTGTTCCGGACGATTCTCGCAAACCGAGAGGTGAAGAAAATTTAGTTTTTTTGTAGGCTCTCACTAACGATTCAAAATGTGAAGGCTCGTAATTCTGTTCATGAAACTACATTCGGGTGCCTCCAAGAAAAGCAGCTGGCTGTGGGTGACCGTTGGGCCATCCTGGACGTAGCCCGTGAAAAGCGTGCGGCCTTTTATGGCCCACGAAGCGTTCAATAACCGGCTTCCTGCACATGTTTAGCTTAAGTCATTTACCGAGTCTACCAAAAACGGACCCTGCTGCTCGAATAATGTGTTTGGGATCATCCGTTAATAAATTGCCAAAATGACGAAGTAATGACAAAATCACGTCACGAGAGGCGTAGAAATGCCACTCAATTCAGCTCATCATTCAAGTTCTTGTGGCTGCTTATACACAAGGCGAGAGTATATATTTCTTCGAAACGACACCCGGAAGGCATTTTTGGCTGTAAATATATTCCCAACATTTTGATAGGATAGATTTCTGGGATCAGACCATACACCAAGCAGAGCTTGTGGAGTGAGCCGTCTCCACCATCCGATTTTGAAATTCCAGTTCAACGACGAAAGTTCGGTTCAACGCGGAAGGGCAACGCGCTGCAATGCTCAACACGGTCCACCCTGCTCTCTGACCTTACACGACCTTTGGCGGCCGGTACCACCGGCCGCAGATCGTCCCAACCCGAGGGTACACAGCGAGTACCGAAGCGACTCGAACACATACAGCCCGCCACGGGCACGTCAGGGGCAGGGGACCTTTTTCAAAATAAAGGTTTGCAACGCTTTGCTACATTTAGCATTCCCATTCTTCCCTGTGCACCTTTCAAAGATCAAAATTCGCTACGTGTCTCTACATGTAGGCGTACATACGCATGATAGTGCGCGTGATAGAAATGCGACTGATATACCGGTGCTGCGATTATTTTCTGCATCTGAGGGATGCAATCGCTTGCCTCTAAAGACGCTGGTATTCATAGAAATATTTGTATAGACCATGAAAAAGGCTGCGTATTTGGAGGGTAGATATTACTGTTAGAAGCAGCGACAAACTAGGGCTTTCCAGAAGATGCGAGGGGTATGTCAAAGTCACTGTCTGGCCCTGGTTCCTTAAGGGTATAAGGCGTGCCTAACATGCCGAAATTACTTTTTGCTTCACTTTGTGCGTATTTCCGCCCTAAAAGAGCTCGGATTACTTAAAATACCGCCAAGCGTCATGACATTTAAGGTACGGCATTATCTGTTAGACGCACGTAACACTAAACATGTTCTTTTATCATGGCGGTACATAGCAGTTGTGATAATCCGTGCTGTCAGTAGCTGCCTGTCACTGACAATTCAACCACTCTTGGGTGCTGAAAGGAGGTAAGGATATTCGATACTGGTAATTTCACGTATACGGCAATTGCGTTTGAATTACGAAGAAACGACAGACATTATTTCAAAACGCGAATTACGTTACCAGCTAGCAAATGCCACCAGAGTAGTAAGTTGAGCTCCTTTCACACTTACTTGCGGAAACTTTGGTTGCCATCTAAATGGACTCCGGCAAAAACCATCTTTAGATGAAAAAGCTGGATAGCGCGATGTGTAGGTCTTGCAGCATACAAACTAGCTTTAAGTAAAACATAAGTTAACATGATGCTAGGGAAAGACGCTCACTTCGTCAGGCCTGCAATACAAACTTTTATCACCATTCTCCTCCGTGAGTTGGACCAAGACCAAGGTTAGGCGCTGCCGTAATTAGCATAGTGTGCCAAAGTTTTGTCACTGGAGCCTTGCAGGTTTCCAAATGCAGGACGCCTCGTTGAGATTGACCGTAAGATTTTGGAACCACTGTGTGATATCCACTGATGCTTCTGGTTCCACAACATATGCTCCCAGGCCACTTGACGGCTCCAAGGCCTGCGATTGGTAGAAAAATCACCGTGACGTCACACGACTCTTTGAAGCCACTTTACGACCTGGACAAGATATCTTGCTGTTATTTTCCGTTCAAAGCCATCGCTTTTCTTTGTTTCACTGCATTAGCGCTTGGCTGGAAGTTTCATGAGCATCGACTGCAGGATTCATTCACTACTAAATAAACTGCCTGCTTCAATGGATAAGTGGCTCCTCTTTATACATTATTAGTCCTATTTTTAGCTCCTTACTTTACACTGGTAACTTCATGTATGCAGTAGACTAGTCCTCTTTATAGCTCGAAGACTCTCATATCATGCCATACGAAGACAACAACCGCACAATATTTCGTTATCATGCGTTTAGACTACCGACGACTCACTTTTTGCGATTTTCAATTAAAGGCAGCGGTCTCACAACCTGATAGTACTTACACCCAGGCCATCCACACCACGTGAACCTCAGCCTCCAACTGATTCGTTTCTGTATCCCATTGTTCCCCATTGCACCCCGTTGTACCCATGTACCCCATTGTACCCCGCCACCCCTCTACCCCACTACACTTCGGCTGCTGACGTTGCAGCGGCCACCGCGGCACAGCAATCACCAGCGTGCGTGCTGTGTTGCAGGAGAGCTACACTCCTCTCGCCCAGCTCGTGGCCTCCCTGGATCACATTGATCACCACTTGCCGTCGATCCTGGAGCTGGAGTCGCTGAGGCCGGTCCGCGCCAAACTGGAGTCTCGCTTCAACCTCGACAGCAAGATCTTTGACGCCCGCTTCAAGCAGGCCGTCGACGCTTTCGAGTCCAACCGTCAGCGAATCCTCGACAGCTTCAACACGCTCTCCTCCCGCGGCGCCGGCTTCGAGGTCACGATCCAGTCCGTGATTGAGAGGATGACGGGGCTGTTCCCTGGCACGTCAAGCGCCACCTTACGCTCGGTGCTCAACCTGCTCCAGCTGTCGAACAGGTGAGTTCTCCGCGGAACTGCTTTTTGCAGCTCTGACAGCAACGATAAAGTCTTAAATCGTGGCATGCTCCCTCGTGTGGGAACGAGATTGTCAACTCCTTCACTGCTGTGTGGTGGGTGCTGGAATTGATGCTCGTCTTTCGCTATCCTGCTATGCATAGATCCATCCTTATAAGTACAATACTATTCTGCCACGGGCCAGGGCGTCGTCTTGCCAGGCTCATTAGCATACGGTATGTTACATGAAGCTCAATATGAACACTGTCTTCGAATACGACGCCGCATGTATGAAGAAGAAATTCATGCATTGATGACGAGTCTCCCGGGTTTTAGCACGCATACGCTGACTGCTTCCGGGCCAGCAAGCGACATCACCATCCACACTGCAAATGAATGCAGACTTACAGCCAGGCATAAGTGATGTCTTGACGAGCCGATATTTTACGATTTCTCGACAATTCTGCCCGCCTTCGTCGAGCAGAGCAAGAAGTTCTTTCCCTTTTCGCCTTTCGCATTTGCCCCAAAATGGAGCCAGACGTTTATCCTGGTCCTGACATTTGAGCCGTGACATGCAGGTCTTCGCCCCTTCCCCACCCCCACCCCTCTCCCTACGCTCGCCCACGAAAATGGAGCGCTCCCGGACGCGGCAAGCGCCGTTGTCCTTTGTTCGTGAACTATGCACATCGACCTTTGGCCGTGGCGTGACCCATGACCGTGGTGTGACCTTAAGGCCAGGATCTGACAGACCACAGAGGTAGAGGGGAAAGGGAGGGACGGTATAACCATGGCAACCGAAGACGAATTTCTCGTTATTTGTTATATTTTTATAACATATATGTATATATATATCATACTTTTATATTTCTATATTTTTATATTTTATGCATTTTATATACTTTTTTATGTTTCTCGTTAGACGTTATTTCTCTGCTTCAGAGTCGCGCTTCTGAGCGGCTCTGGGCTCTCAAGCTCTGAGTGCCAGCCTTGGAGCCTCTGTCCCAAATTCTGAACTAACATGGCCATTCGATCGGCGCTGACCTTTGACTTGGGGCAGCGGTGCCAGATTTTGACAGCATGCACGCTGCTCGTGCCGTCAGCAGCGACTGAGCTGCCCCTCGCGGAGTGTCCTCCGACCCGGCTCGCCACCTCTGACCTGACCTTCATCGACAGCGCCAGCGGACGGGCGAGGCCACAGGACCTGCTCTCCATCGTCGCCATTCCTCCGATTGCGCCCAGCCTGCGCACCGTCGACGACGCGGCGGTGCGCCGGTTCCAGCTGCATCTGCCGGCGCGCATCAGGATAAGCGTCCAGCAGGTGCGCGAGGCGTACTCGCTCTTCATCATCGGATTGGCGTCGCAGGGCGTGCAGCCGCTGGATCTGGTCGCGACGCACCAGCTGTTCATCAGACTCACACAGCAGGCGTTCCTCGTGATACCGGAATACACGACGGAGAACTACTTCCTGTACGTTCTCCGTGTGGCGGTGTCCCAAGTCCCGCGCGGGTCCGCAGGGTTCTCGCTGAGAATCTTCGACCCGACCGTCGTGGTCGACAACGTGCTGGTACCGGAGCCGCTGCAGAACATATACACCGAGGGCCGCAAGACTATCATAGAGCGCGAGAGCGGCCTGCAGGGCAGCAGCTTCGACATCAGCAAGAGGCTGGAGCGCGGGGAGGGGAACAAGCCGTTTGTCACCAACACCGTACAGCTGCGGCCGCCGATCCGCAACGGTCCTCTGCCGAGGTACGATCCGTTCTCCTACGGCGGCGTTGCGCTGTCGGGTGATGAGTTCCGGCAGGTGTCTCAGGTGCTGAGCGGTCGCTTCAGTGCACTTTCGGGACGCTCGCTGCAAGAGCCGATCCTGCGAGTACTCATCGAGGCGGGCGTAGTGAGCGGCAGCGGTAGCGCTGCGGCCGCCGGCTTCAGTCGCTTCTTCAGGGGCCTGCCCAGCTTCTCGGCGCCCGACAACCTGGGGGCCCTGCTCAGCAGGCTGAGCAGCCTCAGCTCCAGTCTGCAGCTGACGAAGCCGCAGCTGCTGGGCGGACTGCAGCAGTTCTTCGTGACGTCACGCGCACTCGGCCACATCATACCCGCGCCCGCGCTACCGGGCGTCTTCTCAGCCGCGGTCGGCCAGTTCGTCAACACGGTGCCGCAGGTGAGGTCGCAGCCGTTCGACATCGATTTCGTGCGCTATCTGCGCAGGCGGCTCACCGAAATCCTGCAGCAGGTGGTGCTGGTCGGCAACTCGGTGCCCGTTATCGGTAGCCAGCTGGACAAGATCTTCTCGGGGCTGCACGGGCTGCAGATAAGCCCCCGTGCACAGCGTGCCATTATCCGCTTCATCGACTCTGGAAGGCTCGTCCAGGCGCCTGGAGCCGACGCCTTCGCCACCGGCACGAGGCGGCTGCTCGCGGGCCTGGAGCAGCGCTACCCCCGCGACGTATTCGTCCTGCCGAGAAACGAGCGGCGGCTGCTGCAGGGCGACCTCCGTCGCTCGGGCATCATCGTCGGCGACCAGCAGCTGACCGATGTCAATGCGCTGGCGCTGGTCGGACTTGGCCTCAACAAGCGCTTGGACCCGCGGATCAAGCGGGCGGACCTGCGTGGCATCCTGCGCCGCGCCATCGTCTCGTTCCTGCGCATCAATAACGTGAACAACATCCCGACCAGCGACTTCTTCCGCTCGCTGTTTGCCGTGCAGAAGGCGCCGCTGCCGCCGCTGCCGGTGCCGGTGGTGGGGCAGGACCAGCGCCCCGTGCCGTACACACCGGCTCCGATCCCCATCATCGACGACCTCACGCTGCCGCTGGTCGACGTCAACCGACTGATCACGCTGCTGCGTCGCTACTTCCCCTTCGTCTCCATCGACAACGTGCAGGCGATCCTGGTGCACGTGGTGGAGATCCGACGAGCGGCGTCCGTGTCGATCACGCAGGGCAACCTCCTGGGGGAGCTGACCTCGTACTTGAGTGGGCTGCCCAAGTCTCTGGCTATCCAGGGCGTGGACATCGAGGAACTGCGGAAGAAGATCGATGCCAGCTTGGCGGAGGTCACCATTACGGGCAACGGCATCCAATCGGGCCTGGTGGAGCTAATGCTGCACCTGCACTATCTGAACCTGCCGCTGCCGACGCCGGCCACCCAAAACGAGTTCTTCAGCTTCGTCATCATCTTGTACGGGCGCACTGTCATACGTCAGCAGCTGCGGTTCGGCGAGCCCTTCTACAAGTTCCTGCAGGAGACGCTGCCTGGTTTCGGCAGCTCCGTAGCGCCATTCCCGATCTTCAGCGCCCCGCAGCTGTACCAGGCACTGGAAGGGCAGCTGAGCCCTTCGAGGCTCGTGCTGAAGGACCTGCCACTCTACATCCAAGCGGTCATCCAGTCCGCCGGGCTGCAGGGCACCCAGGTGAGCCTGCCAACCGTGCTTCAGAGAATCAACGGCATCTCGGCCGGCAAACTGGGCCCGCTCTCCCAGGCAGAGGCAAAGGGGATCCTCGGCCGTCTGCGCTCGGCCAGTCTCGGTGGCATCGGTGCGCCACATGTGCAGCGTGCCTTCGACTTGTGCAGGCTGGCGGTGCGCCTGAGCGGCGGAAGTCTGGGCCGGAGCGCGCTGCTGCACAGGTTCGGCCAGGTGGTCGTGGTGATCGTGCGCCAGTACAAGAGCCTTCTGGTGCCGCAGCTGGTGCCGCACCTGGTGCGCCTTGGCAGTCCCAAGCAGTTCTCGTTCAAGGGCTGAGTCCGCAGCGCTGCAGGGGGGGAAGACGTTCTTCCGGCGGAGGGTCTCGCCGTCACTGTGTCACGTACCAGCCGGTAAAATATTTCGGGATGCTGTTAGCATGTGCTGTGGGCGGTGGCGTGGTGTTATCATGTAGCAAATAAAATTATATTGGCACAATCATCGGCCAGTCTATCTAAGGAAGCCTGTCCACCTGAGCGGAAAGGAAATCCAGAACTTTCAGCACAAAGGCCGACTTTACAAGTTGTAATTTTGAGGGCCTATCGACGACATGCTTATGTTGTCCCTGCCCGCCGAAGGGTTGACGTGACAGACTACGCGACCAAAAGTCTTGGGTTAGAATCTAAATAAACACGCCGCAAAACATCAGCCAGTAACAAAACACAGCGGTGGAAGCTGGATTGATATGGATGTGTTTCTTTGTGTGTTAAAATGTTCAGCACCGCAGCTCAACCCATCATTAAAAGACTAATGGGCGTCAGCAGTCGCCTTGGCATCGTAGCTGTCACTGCGCATGATCACGACCTCTGCTTGAAGCCTCGCCGTAGAAACATGCGTCGATTGCGGTTCCACATGGGCCTATAACTGCACGGGTCTATAGCTACATGGGTTTGGAGGTACAGAGAGAGAGAGAGAGAGAGAGAGAGAGAGAGAAGAGATAAGAGAGAGAGAGAGAGGATAATACTAGAGAGTAGAGAGAGATAGTAGAGATTGGCAGGAGATAGAAGAGACGAGAGAGCAGAGAGGGAGAGAGAGAGATGAAGAAGATAGAGATGAGAGAGAGAAGAGAGAGTGAGAGTAGAGAGAGATCGGAGAGAGAGAGAGGGAGAAGAGAGATGAATGACTGTCTAAAGGCAGCATCAACGCTGGATCTCGAGGTATATCGTACATATTATATATCTACTCTATATATATATATATATATATATATATATATATAAAAGTTTGAAGTACATGGGCCTATAACTGCACAGGTCTATAGCTACTTGGGTCTGTAGGTACACAGATCTATAGTTACATGGGTCTAAAGTACATGGCTCTATAACTACACAGATCTATAGCTACATGGGTCTATAGCTGCATGGGTCTATAGCTACATGGGTCTATAGCTACATGGGTCTATAGCTACATGGGTCTATAGGTACACGAAAATATAGCGATATGAGTGTTCAGTTGCAGGGTTTATGGCTACATGGAGTGAACTGCTGATGCATTATTCAGTTCTGAATGTGGCCACGCTTGAAGGATTCCGAAAGCCGTTACCCTTATAACTCCCCGAGAACAAGAACATTTACTTGCAGTTTATCTGGCATCGCTCAACTGCCGCGAGGCAGAAAAGTAATTGTCTGTAAAACAAGAAGTACAGGCCAGCAGATGGTGGTAATTCACACTATTGCGAATGTAGATGCTGTAAAAGTTATTGCACACTTTTTGCAAACAAAAGGTGGCTTGAAAACTCGATGAAGGATTCCGAAAGCTTGAATGATTCCGAAAGCCGTTACTCTTATTACTCCCCGAGAACAAGAACATTTACTTTCAGTTCATCTGGCATCACTCAATTGCCGCGATACAGAAAAATAATTGTCTGTAAAACAAAAAGTACAGGCCAGCAGATTATGGTAATTCACACTACTGCGAATGTAGATACTGTAAAAGTTATTGCACACTTTTTGCAAACAAAATGTGGCTTGAAAACTAGGCACAATTCACAGCAAAAGAATCAACAACACAAAACACTTAAATTTATTGTCTGTTTTTAACATATATTGGCTATTTTTTAAACGGTGGACTTGAAACATCGTTGTGTGTAAAACTCAGTAAGCAGTCCCAGTTCTACGGTATATTTCAAGGTCACAGACAGTCAACATTGCATAATTGGCTTCCTCTAAATTCTTGTTCCGAACTCCAGACTGCAGGCAACATCGCAGGGCAACACCAATGTGCACTGTAAACGGCATTAGCCATAACATACGTGTACATCAAATATACCAATAAACCAAAATAAAGCATAAATTAGATACAATGACATATATATATATATATATATATATATATATATATATATATATATATATATATATATATATATATATATATGCATGTGTGTGTGTGTGTGTGTGTGTGTGTGTGTGTGTGTGTGTGTGTGTGTGTGTGTGTGTGTGTGTGTGTGTGTGTGTGTGTGTGTGTGTGTGTGTGTGTGTGTGTGTGTGTGTGTGTGTGTGTGTGTGTGTGTGTGTGTGGTGTGTGTGTGTGTGTGTGTGTGTGTGTGTGTGTGTGTGTGTGTGTGTGTGTGTGTGTGTGTGTGTGTGTGTGTGTGTGGTGTGTGTGTGTGTGTGTGTGTGTGTGTGTGTGTGTGTGTGTGTGTGTGTGTGTGTGTGTGTGTGTGTGTGTGTGTGTGTGTGTGTGTGTGTGTGTGTGTGTGTGTGTGTGTGTGTGTGTGTGTGTGTGTGTGTGTGTGATATTGTCTTATGAAAAATACCAATACTAGATTCCTGGGAGAGCATCTGAATGGAGTCGTCAACGGCCTCAATGAGGTCGGACCAGTTAGTTCTATAACTTACTACTCTGTTGCTTACCTCCGACCCCTCCATCATGTGTCATACTGAATTTGGCTCTGATGTGTATCTTGCTCTTATTCCCCTAAAAAGCGGCCTTTTTCAGGAGGTTATCTGTGATCTTCATCACCTTTTTAGCACTTGTGCTTTGAAGCATTATAACAAACCTGACCTAGAAGGTATAAAGGGTTGACCTGAATTAATCGAAAAGCATACATCCTGATTTCTAAGAACTAAACTATCCATTGATTTCTTTGGTGTCTCTGCCTCAAATAGGTGTCAAAGAGATACAAAGACAAGGTGTGCCTACTGCATTTCCTGTGCGCGTGCGAAAACCGTTTCCATCTGACGGTAGATTCGTTCCATAGTGTCCGAAACCGGTGCTCCAGACTCGCCCCAGCACAATGATTGTGTGTCACGCTGTTACTTTCACATAAAGCTGATACGGCGCAGCCTTTAGACAACTGGTCGCTTGTTACCGCTGAATGGCCACTGCATCTCACCACGAATAGCACAGACGTAGGGAGCGTGGCGGACGCAGCACACAATTACGGCTAACATGGATCGTTTAACACACTCAGTAGCTGTACGCTTACCGGTTAAAACCGGTTAAACGCAGATTTTACACTGCATGCGGGTCACGAATTGACTAGGGGAGTATGCACTCATCGTCCACTTCATCACCCGGTTTATCTCTCAGATGACACCACACACTACAATGAACACACCGGAGTAAAATTTCAACTAATAAATACAATCACCCAGCGAGCCGGTGCAACAGCAATGACACAAAATCGCTGGACAATCACCTACTTGCGCCGCCATGCACAGGCAGTGGGTAGCACAACACCAATCACACGGACAAGCTGCGGACGACGTTCAAAAACTTCAGCCGCTATCGGGAATGGAACCGGCCATCCAGAACAGTTTCACTACACACTATCGGCAACCTTGATCTTCAGCCGCGCACGGCGCAGCTTGACCTTGGATCTACGCCTCCGAGCTCTCCGCCGATTGGTGTAGCGCCGTATCACGTGACGTAGCCACTTGCGGTAATTGGCCAGTTTGACATAAATGCCGTACTTGCCCTTGGCGCCGCAGCCTTCGCCAAAACTGGTGATGCCGTAGATATACCATCTGCAGCATAATACAGAAACTGTACAAAAACTGCAGAACATGTGAAAGCATGCCCATTTCCATCATGATTAAGCCATTTAAAAAGGTAGCGTCCAAACGTTGCCTGTGGCTGTGGTGTGCGAATGCAATGTCGTTTGCGGTCAAGTATGCGATTGACCGGGGCGAAGCGTTATCTCCGAGTTACCGGCGATTCGTTTTAGTATACCGATCGCACAATGTTAGCCTTGGTAACAACAACCCCGCCTGTAGCGGCATCCCATTATCTTCCAAGATATTTTGGCAGAATGTCGGGCTCTGCGAAGCCTTTGTCTCAAATTACTCGAGCACCTACGCACATACAAGTAACTAAGGCCCCACACAAAGCGACGCCAGAAATGCGAGTCAGACACGGCCAACACCGTAATTATTAATCATCAATTTAATCATCAGACACTGTAGGACGGACCTGCCATTCTGGCTACAGACGAGAGGCCCGCCCGAGTCCCCAGCGCACGCATCGATCCTGCCGCGCCTGTAGCCGGCACAGAACATGTTGTCGGTGATGTAGTAGTCGGAGTAGACCGAGCGGCAGCGCGAGTCCTTCACCACAGGAACCTGTCGGCGAACATGCCGCCCTGAGTACGGCTGGTGCAGGGGGAAGGACACACCGTGCCGAAGCCGCGGCGCTCAGTGGCTTCGAAGGGTGAGGGGGCGGGGTCTGGAAGAACGTGCCGCCCCGACCAAGACAGACCTACGGGCTTCGGAAGCAAGGGTGAGAGGCGATGAATACACCATCTCCAATGGCTTCCGGGAGGTGGTGACAGAGGTGCAGCTTCTTAAGTGCAGCAGGCTTAGTGGCTTTGGAATGGGTGAGAGAACGGGCCGTGCCGTCATCGGCACAACAGGCTCGGTGGCTTCAGTGGCATATTGAGAATACTGAACCGCTGTCAGAAGATTAGGGCTGGTAGATTATCTTATTATGGTAGATTAGTGTAGATCCAGTGGCTTTGGAGAGCAGGCTGAGGGCGGCATAATGCAGAGGGCATTGCTCATACGGCATGGCTTCGCAGCACGAAGATCAACAGTGCCGTATCGAACAAAGCACTGCCAGCGAGACGATGGACGTTTAATGGTCAACAACGGAACCATAAAAATGCTTATGCTCGTAGTCTGCCTGTACAGGATCGTTTGCGAGGCGCGGCGCCGCAGAATGAACGCGTCCTTTTCATATCATACATGAAGCAAATGCTCCCCTGTTTCTGGGATTGGCAGTGATCACCGCACGCTATTAAAACTGTAACCCGTTCGTGCAAAACAGGCCCACGCCGTTCCCTCGCGACCCGTGAGCTGACGTATCCCCAGTTTGTGCACCGACCGTCCCCAATCCGCGTAGTCCTCTCCCCAGGCTGGGTACTGATCCTTCCCAGTGCTTTTATTGACCTACCTCCAGTCCGTGTGCCAACTTTTCCCAACTTAATATAAGAAAGAGAAACCGTCAGCTCCTGTTTTTCGGCATTACGAGTTGAAAGTTTTCATGCTGTGTTAACGACGTTCAACTTACCAGGAATTATTAGTTAAACGACGCTGTAATGCTGATAAGGATTATTTTGACGACACTCAAAATTTCGAGCTTTGCCCACGCTCGAGAGTCGGCACGGATCTCTTAGTACACGGATCTGCACGGGCGCACGGACAGTGCACGGATCTCCCCATTCCGTGCACTGACCTCTTCCTAGTTGGTGTACTCATCTTTCGCCTATCCGTGTACTGATCTCTTCCCAGTCCATGTGGTGACCTCTCCTCAGTTTGTGTACTGATCTTAACAACACACTGCAACGCCTAACGCGGGAGAAGCGTTAGAACATCCCAGTCTGATTACCAATTACTCATCCCTTCACAATCTACGTAATCTCCGCGTTGACGTCCCGCGCACAGTCCTTTACCTGCTCTTTTCCCATCGCTGGCACTGACCTCTGACCTCTCCAGCCCGTTCACAGTGACCTCTCCCGAGCCGTTCGCAATGACCTCTCCCAGTCCGTTCACCCACCTCAGCTTCCCGCAGCACGTCTGAGCCGAAGAGATGGGTGATCTTGGTCTTGCCCCAACCCGCCACGGTACACATGGTGCCTGGCTTGGGGTGCCGCCTGCTTGGCAAGCAGACCGGTGACGCCTCGGCGGCGGACAGCTCGCTCGGCAGGCGAATCAGGGCCAGGTCATTGTCCACCGTTTCTGGGTCGTAGCTCGGGTGCTGCACCATCATGTTGGGTGTCACCTGCAACGCACAATGGCAACATATATCCGGTGCTGCACCATCATGTTGGGTGTCACCTGCAACGCACAATGACAACCTGTCTCCGGGCCGATCGAAGAAGTCGGAATGACGCATGAGTCCAGGTGTGAGTGCATTGTAAGATGTAAGAAAGTGTCTGCTTATTTACAAGTAGAGACAAAATGGAATTGGCTCCACTGAAAGTTCCATTTTGAGCCAAACGTGAAAAAGTAGCGGCATCTCATCACAGTTCATGGGTCATCTTTTGCCGGGCATCTTTTCACTCGGGCCTATTTGGAGGCAAGTGTCATATAGCTCAAATATGGTAACGATCATAAGACATAGCGTCGCAGTGACTTCAACATGGGTCTGTTCTTTGCAGGCAAACACTGTCGCACAAAGGTTGTTTCTTCTGACGTCGCAAGTAACTAAGTCACACACGCAGTAAAGGACGCGATACACCCAAGTAAGGGCGGGAAGGAGAATCGACGGATTCATTCCATGGAGGCATGAAAACAGCAACAGTGGCGCAAACTGGCCGGATCATTTTTTTAACGATTTCCGAGGTTATTTTTGAAGCCATCGTTATGTGTGAAACATTTTTTTGCTTGATATATTAATCCTTGTGCGTGCTGCTTTTCGTTTTGTTGGGTGAACCATAACTTTCCGCAAATATTTATCAAACCATACCCCCAAGCTTCAAAATAACTAATTCTGGCCGACCAAAGCCGCAGCATCTGAATAATTAGCCTTACACAACCATACACACATCCCAATTTGTTTCGATAGCATTGTTGTGGCACGCACTTGCTGTTGTCTGTAAGGAGCTTAAGGAAATAATTTGCTTATGCTTACACCAATAGCGCGCTGCTTAAAAAATAAAAAACAACGTAGATTGGTATGATTTAACGCAATCGCTTTTTCCGGGGTGGGGAAGCTGGGGTGGGGTTGTATAAAATGAGCTGGGACTTGTGGACTTGGAATGACTTTTCAGCACATCCAGTAGCGCGAAATGAGCGATTTCTGGGCGTGAAAATGCCATCTTCGTGAAAAGATCATATTCGCTTCGTCCTGGTAAATCAACTGAAAAAAAAACAGTGGATTGGGTAAAGCATACTCTGGTCTATATACTGGCCGGCGGAACTTTTTGAAAGCCGCGATGAATGATTGGCCAGTGGCCTGAGCGTGACGTCACGGTAACGTCATGGTCACGATGACGCAGCATGTCCGGGATCGGCTGCTGTTTCCAACGCGACAAAGGTCTTTTGACGCGGTACTGCACGACCTTTGACGGCATTTCAACTCGGTTCTGCACGCGCTGTTTGAACGTGAGGTGCCCGAGCGACAGATGAGCGGGTGGGAGCACGACAGTTGACGTGGATTGATTTCCTCACCGATTGCCGCTGGATGTTATGCTCTCGTCGTCTTTCAGCTGAAAGCTACCACTCTCGCTATCTTCCCGCCGAAGACGGATACAGTTCCTCCTGAACAAGCCAGCATGGCATGGGTACTGCACCAAGAATGCTTCCACATCCACCATCTTGAACCAGTGTTTCAGCCCATTAATACTATTATCCCATCTCGAACTCACACCCTTACACCGTCTACAGTCATCTTCAATGATGCACTGCGAATCCAAAGGTGGCACGGCATTGCGCGGCAGTGTGGAGGCACACTTCACTCACACTGGCGCCGCTTTCAAGTTGGTTCATTGCCTCGTTTAAAGTTCACAACAGGGTTCCACTTCGCACACCGCACGGTTTCCCACCTGACCCCGTTAACCTGCAGCAATGTCCCACTGTCAGTCAAGACCACGTTCGCACTTGGCGATCTGGGCAGTAACTCACTTTTGACCCTCATTTTTGTCCTACTTTAGGCCAAGGTCATGGCTGAAATCACACCTTCCACCCGTTGAACCTTTTACGCCGGTGTAAAATCTTGAACCCCACTGGTGCACCATTTTACATCCGCACCGTGATCTACGTTTGGTCTCCTCGTGCCTAAATAACCCCCCGTCCCAGCCTCATATCCACACCCTGAGCACACACCAACGCCTCACATGCCATCCGCATCTTGAACCCACATCTTGCATCCACATGTTATACCCTCACGCTAATCCGCACCTTGTCCACGCCAGCATCCAACAAAAAACCCGCATGATGTACCACACAATGAAACCAGACCTTCAACCGACACCAGTGTTCCGGACCTGCGCGTACGTCAGCCATCCTTAAGCCCATACCTCGAGGACATACCAATGTCTAGTCCTGAACCCACACCCTGAACCCACACCCTGAACCTACACCTTGAACCCACACCCTGAACCTCACCCTGAACCCACACCCTGAACCTATACCCTGAACCTACACATTGAACCCACACCCTGAACCTACACCCTGAACCTACACCCTGAACCTACACCCTGAACCCACACCCTGAACCCACACCCTGAACCCGAGGCCGTTATCGCACCTTGAAGCCACGTTCGCTGGTTTCCGGCCTGGTCAGGTCGTGCTCCCCCAGCCGAACGTAGAGCACACGTCGCAGGCAGTGGGCAGCTGTCAGCAGCCAGCGGGGGTGCACCAGCGTGCCGCCACAGAACGGCTCCTGACGGCAGATGAAGATATAGGTATAGATACGGATACAGATAAAGATACAGATACGACACACGCTGAAGATAATGGGAAGCCGTTCGCAGCCAGCGAGGGTGCACCAGCGTGCCGCAACAGAAAGGCTCCTGACGGCAGATAAAGATAGAGGTATAGATACGGATACAGATACAGATACAGATACGACATGCGCTGCAGATAACGGGAAGCCGTTCACAGCTAGCGAGGGTGCACCAGCGGTGTCGCCACGGAACGGCGCTGGCGATAAATACAGATACCGATAAAGATAAAGTAGAAGTACAGATACAGATACAGATACAGTCCACCAACATAAGACACACGCCGCAGACAGTGGGTAGCCGTCCGCAGACAGCGAGGGCGCGCCAGCGTGCCGCCGCAGAACGGCTCCTGGTAACAGATACACGTACACATGCGTTGTAAGACATCTCGTACGACATACCCGCGTACAAATGCGTGCATAATGTACAACGGATTTCATATTAGGCACTCTCGCACGGGTGAGCACACACACACACACACAAATAGCAGTGGCTAACCATGAACTTGTTGAAAATGACTGCCTGCCAGGGCCAGGCGCCGCGGCTTGACCTGCGGCCTCCCACCACGCGCAGAAGGCGGCGTGCTGCGCTGCCGCCGCCAACGCCGCACACATTGTTCACGGAGGAGACACTAGTGCCACCTGTGGGGGATGCATAGAACGCTTAGTGCCTGAATGGGATACCGTGCTACCCGGTCGTTTTCGTTCGTGGGGGACGTAAGGGTTAGTAACGGACGTCGCGCTTATCAGCTACCGCTGCTGCCATATCAAACCTCCCTGTCTGGGAGGCTATCTGCATCCTTTTCGTGCGCAGCTTAGCTACACCGGAACGGGGAATGGCTGGCGAAAACTGCGGAAGCTAAGAGCCTGAAGGCGGCGCACGAAAAGAATACCCACACCTATCTTGAACGTGGTCCAACTTCTGATAAGTGGGAGAGACCCTGGACACTCTATTTGCCGTCCCAACGCACCCAACGACTGCGGACATCCAGTGTAGGCCTGTGACGTCACGCAATCCTTCTTTCCGGCCACCCTGACCTGTGCTGGGGGACGGCGGCCGCGGGGTGGCGCTGGCGGCAGCCTTCTGCTTGTGCACCTCCTTCCTGCTCCTCCTGGTCTTCTTCCGGCACTGGAAGCCGGACACGGAACAGGTGGTGGTGTCCTTGACCTGCGCCGTGCCGCAGAGGTGCCGGTACTTGCACCGTCTGAGGGGTACGAAAGGATCAGGGTTAGTAGCAGACTACTACTAACACTACTACTAGTAGACCACCCACTGATACTAGTAGTGGGCGGTCGTGAGAGCTGTGGCATGACTGGCTGTTTTCGACCCAGCCCACCAGTTTCGGAAAGCGTTACTAAACCCGGGGGATAAGTGCAATCTCCCATCGCATCGATACGTTCAATCAGGATAATGTGAATGTTGTCAGCGTACATACAAGTTTAAGGATTTCAAATGTGATGCTGATCTCGGGTTCTTCTGTGATGAGGTCTTAGGGAAATTAATGCCTACGCCTCTTGCCTTGATGAATGCCTTGATCTGGATAATTTATGTCTCTGAGTTTAGATCCTGTCACTGTCCAGCCTTCTGTGCTGGATACGTAAGCAATAATGGGTAACCTGCACGTCAAAATAAACATTTTCCGGATTGGCAATGTTTTCCTTTCTTTAAAATTACTGGCCCTTAGGGCTTGTGTTGTCTTAAGTGTTTTTTTCAGGCATTACCTGAGCACAGATTTCCTTGGCTTAGGCATCCCTTTGCTCATACCGTGCCCAAATTTAGGCCAAGCACGGTACCTGTGCGGCCACAGCATGATTTCGCCATCCACAAGCGTTACAAAACTTGAATCGGCCCTGAAAACCATCACCGGTACCCGAAGCTACACAAGGGCCCTCTGCCCTAGACACCTGAGCGCGCCTCTGCCGTGACCTGACTTCTGCCGTGACCTGACCTGGTGCGGCGGGTGACGCAGCGGCGCGAGCAGGGGCTCCAGCGTCCCCAGGCGGTGAAGTAGAGCCAGCTGAAGTGCCGCCGGCCTCCGCCGCCTTGGGAGCGCGCCTGACGCCGCTGGCACACCGCCGTCGAGCCGCACGGCCGCAAGTGCTGCGGCCAAGGTCGGGATAGGTCAGGTCAGGTCACATGGAGCGCGCCTGACGCCGCTGACACGCCGCCGTCGAGCCGCACGGCCGCAAGTGCTGCGGCCAAGGTCAGAACAGGTCAGGTCAGGTCACATGGAGGAGGTCAAGTCAGGTCTGTCACCAGCCTCGATATGTTGTGCGTGACAGTCCTCGTCGCAGCGGAGAGACGAGGTAGCGCAGGGGGCCGCTGCTGCTAGACGATCCGCAAGTGAGCATCTGTCACTAGCTCCGACATTCCCACACAAATTACCAGCTCCGATATTCCCACATCTGTCACCAGCTCCGATATACCCGCGTCTGTCACCAGCTCCGATATGCCTGCATCCGTCCCCAGCTCCGATATGCCTGCATCTGTCACCAGCTCCGACATACCCACGTCTACCACCACGTGCATCTGTCACAAGCCCCGATTTGCCTGCATCTGTCCCCAGCTCCGATATGCCTGCATCTGTCACCAGCTCCGATATGCCTGAATCTGTCACCAGCTCCGATATACCCGCGCCTGCCACCACTTGCATCTGTCACCAGCTCCGATATGCCTGCATCTGTCACTTGCACCGATATGCCCGCATCTGTCACCAGCTCCGATATGGCCGTATCTCGCACCGACCTCGACATGCATGCATCTGTCACCAGCCCGAACGAGCCCGCAGCACCAGCACCTGCAGCTCTTGTAAGTCCGCGCTCGCTACCTGGGTGACAAAGCGTGAACACGATGATAACACAGAGTCGCTGCTTACGGAAACAGGCGATATTCATGGATCAGAGCCTTTTGTTCCTTGTGCCTGCACCGGCTGCTCCCTGAGAGTGCTCTCCAACCTCTGCAGTCTATATCTCCTAGGTCGCTGATCAACCCAACTAACGCTCAACTGCCCAACGAGAGCAGTCTTGGTTAAACAGTTGTCGGCTAAGTGAGCAATGCCTCACCAAACCGGCTGGTAGAAATTACCCCGTCCTGAGAAACGTCCTGGTTTCTCCTGCTCCATACCGCAAAAATGAGGTGCATTTAAAGTAAAGTAGCGAAAGGAAAGCTTTCTCTTAATACTGAAAGCAGAGGGACGATGACCGCGCCCTCGGGAGGAAGCCGGAGAGACATTCGGTTGGAGACTGCAACTGCATAGCAATGTGTGAAAACCCATTCCGTGGGAATTCGGCAGTACATCATTGCTAACCAAATATGTGTATTAAAAGTGTACCGCACAAAACGGCTCGTAAAATCGCGTTCCTACACCGCCCCACCATACTACATTTGGACCACGAAGGCAGGGTCGTTCCGCTGTCTGGGTCCCGCCTCCCTCTCACCCTCGTCGTGTCCGGCACCACCAGTGACGTCCTGTAGTTCGCACTGACGCGAGCCGGCAGGAATGTGTCACGCCCCAGCGCCGCGGTCGTCATCGGCCGCCCCTGGAGGACCCCCCCCCCCCTCCCCCCGCCTCCTCCCTTCCATCAGAGCGCCACCCGTCGATAGAACAAGTTGCAGGCTCCAGTGTCATGGATGCAGACCGTGAAGGCCGTCCCCTATCAAGGGCTGGACAGGACAGGGCAAGGGCGGGTCAACACTTGAGGCGTGAGTGGGGGGGTGGGGGGGGGGGAGGGGGGCTGACCTCCGACGGGAGCAAAGTTGGCTGGGCGTGGCGCTTGGTAATAAGCCCGCCTCTTCCCGCGCGGGCACGCAGGCAGCGGGTCGAGACTCGCCCTCTGTTCTTCTGAGTTCTTCTGAGTTCTGGGTTCTTCTGAACTAGACAAGCTGGCTCCGCTGGCGAACCGATCCGACCTCAGCGACCTTTCCCCCACTCGCCCAAGCGGATCTGTGCAGGTCTGTGTACAAACAGCCCAGCCTGGAGCCATGGCGTCATCTTCACAAGCCTAGAGGGTGATTCACAGAAACCGCGTGCTCGGGAGGCACGCCCAGTCAGCAACGGGATCTTGGGAGGAAGCCAGCAGCAGGTTGTAACAGCAAGTTACGTAACGGCAAGGATGCAAAATCATTCCTAAAGCGCAACCAAATGTCGAATGCTTCTTGGATAAAACTAAAGTAATGAGTACCGCATAAGTCATCGTGTTTTGCGCACAAAAAAGGTTTTACAGACTTGCGTAAGGGAGCTACGTTGCATGGGGCGTCAATGAATCAGATTGTGGGGTCCTGTTTAACAAGGGGTCAGACTCAGGAACTCCATAACGAGGTGAGTCAGAGCTATGCCTCCCGCATTAGATGGTTACACCTCCCGCATTAAATCATTCCACTCTCGGTCCCGAAACTATGCTGGCCACTTTGAGAATGAACAGAGTCCTAGGCAGATAAATGACAGTTTGACACGACTTCTCCAAGCCAAACCGCATAGGATGGCAGCCCAGTGTACACAACCGAGATAACCATCAAAACCGAGGGCAGAAATGCCACGACATTTAAACTGCACGGACCGGATCCGCTCCGTCTAACGTAAGGCGATTTTGCCGGCCAGTTCTACACCGAGCATGCCATTGCAAGGCATGAAACTGCAAGGCGCCAAACTGATCCATCCACTGCCCTGCCTGCCTGGCCGGCTGAGAGGTAGGGCCCAGCCGAAATTATGCCTTAAGCTGCGCTTGCACGACTGTTGTTATCAGGACGGAGCGAACATGACCGTCTTTGTACTGGATGTACTCTCAGCACTTTTATAGTTAAGCCGCCGCAACAGCTGTAATCACCAATTACGAAAACGGCCAAGAAACTGACGCCTCCCCCTCCCATTCTACATTCCAGAATAAGTTTGCAGTCATCAGTTACAAATGCAGCACAATACAAATACAAATGCAATTTACAACACAAATGCAGCGCGTGTGAAGCATACACCGGCGGGCAATAATAATGTCAGGTCAGATTTAGTCGCTACAGCTGGAGAGCGATCGCCTGCAGCTGGTTCAATGTCTGGTTCAATGTCCAGGCTACAACTGGGTTCAGGCGCACTTGACCCTTGACACGGAGCTACAAGAGAGGTAAAAGTTCGTGCAGGCATCCTTCAGCGACCGTAAGCTTCTGTGCACAGACTGCCTCGTTACCGATTCAAAAAGTATGATCTGGTACATGCGGTAGATGCGGTTGACTTTAACAGCATGTATGTTGTCTCATTTTATCGCTTTTTGAGGGTTCTCGGAGCGTGTGCCCCCTTGCCCCATTAGCTCTGAGTGAGTATGATTTAGTTATTTATTTCGCCGCAGAGACAATCATACCGGCATCCCGGTACCAAAAACAGATGCAAAACCCAATAAATGTCACATCACTCGCTTACAACGTCCAGTCAGAACAAAGGGAGGCCGTTGTGGGATTTGCATGGCGCAGCGGATTTACTCGGATTACCGCACACAAAGTGGCGCGCGGCTCGTGGCGCAACAACAATGGAGCTCGCGGGGATCGCTGACGTCACAGACGCCACAGCTTCTGGCAGCGGGTGTGCCGATAGGCGGCCAAGTATGCCGTGATCGAGCCTTTAACGAGACTAAGTAGCCCTAAGTCGCACATGCCGTGGGCAGTGCAACTTACCTGGCCATGTTTGAACGCAAACGGCTCTGCATTAAGGGGGTAAGCTATCTCGAGGAGATATTTCAGTGCTGAGTTCTTTGGAAAGTACGGGGCTGGAAGCGGTATGAGCCAATTCGAACCCCCAAAATCTCAGGAATGATAAAAGCTAGGACAAACAATTGACGGGGCAGCTGGAGACGCAATAGATTTGAGTGCAAATTCGGCAGCCTTAAGCCAAAGCTATTTGAGTAAAGTCAGGCATGAATATATAGGTTAAAAGCGCTGACATTTTTTCATGTGTCGTCTCTTTCTGTACGTGCGAGTGAAAAGGAAAATCGCGTTAATGATTAAATCGAATTTTCCAACCTTTTGCTCAGTTCAAAAACGTGTAAGCCCGGTGAGGCAGGCGCTTGGCGGCTGAGCATGCCAATGTAAAGGAAATAATAGGTCTTGTTTAACCAAACATCAGCTGTCTATGTATGCCACTCTGTCGCCTCCCATGTACCCTCGAATCCCAGTAGAAATTTTTATTATGAGGATTTTACCTGGTTCTAGCGCATTTCGTGGCCTCACTAAGCCCATTTAGACCCGGGCGCTGGAGTCAACTCTCAGGCTTTATCGCTGCTGAGAAGCTCAACCACTCATCGACGTCGCCACACGGTCCCTGCATAGTTCGGAGTCCCTATGCTGGAGTGATGCCGTCTCAAGAGGTGTCATGAGGTCCTACTGGTACGAAACGAGCGATGGGAAACAGCTGCTGTCAACGGACAACGGAACTAACAGCTTCCAAAGACGGCGGGACGAACACTGGCGTCTCCAGGACGAAGACTGGCGTCTCCAGGACGAAGACTGGTGTCTCCAGGACGAAGACTGGTGTCTCCACGAAGAAGACCGATGTCTCCAGGACGAAGACTGGTGTCTCCACGAAGAAGACCGATGTCTCCAGGACGAAGACTGGTGTCTCCACGAAGAAGACCGATGTCTCCAGGACGAAGACTGGTGTCTCCAGGTCGCACATCCGATGAGTGACGACAGAAAGACGGCGCCACATCGCACAGAGCTAATCAAACACTGAAACGGCGGCGGAACCAGTTGAGGAACGTGCGCGTCGCGCGAATCACCAAGAACGCCTCAAACTCACTCCCGAACCTGTCACCGCCCGACTTGCTCATCAGGTGTGTCATGCAGTGGATACAGTGTACAGACGCAGAGTCTCTCGCTGCAGGCACGAGCAAGGCAAACGGCAATGCTCCGAATTCATCGCACTGTGAGTCACTTGTCATAGAAAATTGTCATGCGCGATGACTGAATGTCTCATAATTCAGGATGATCAAAGGCGTAAGTCAAAAATTCTTTAAATATCTGTGTAGTTCAGGTGTAAAGCATCCAAAGCTGTGAAAGAAATTCCACTGAATTTGTGTGAAGCACACCAATGGCATTAGACAAGAACCACAAAACCTAAACAGCAGTGGTGGGCCTAGGCTAACATCCTCGGAAGACGGGTGGGGTCGCAACTGTTTGCAACTGAAACACAACTGATTGCTACCTTAAACTCGACGTCTTTCTTCAACAGCATTGCCACCGGCACCACAGCAAAGGCATGCCGAGAACGTGCTGCTTCCGACGGGAACACGTGCGTCACGTGTGAAAAACACCGCGCATGTGGCGGTGCGTTCACCAAGGGCACGGCACGCAACAACACACCATTCAGTACACAGAAACGAGCCGTCGCAGCTCCACTAACCACCAGTTTTCTGTCGCCACACAGCTCCGGACGACGGCAGCGGCGTCGGCGTCGCTGGCGACACTTGTGGCAGGCGGACCATCCCGACCACGGCTCGAACTGCGCCGCAATCGCCGGCTCCTCGTCCACCAGCGCCGCTTCTGCCGCAAGAGCAGGAGTCAGCTGACGCTGAGCCAGGTGACGTCACGAACGCTGCGTCGGCACGTCGCGCAGCGTTTCAATCAAGGGCGCAGCCAAAGAGCGGGTGCCCTCTCCCCCCCCCCCTTCATTAAACGTGCATGCCTTTAGAATACCAAAAGCCGGCATGATGTGTTCTCACCGAGCTTCACCCCCCGCCTCCTTTGAGAAAACCCTGGATGCGCCCCCGATCTGAGCGACGCGCCAGTGCTTGTGACGTCAGCGACGCACGCGTCGGTTAAAGCCTTTCGTAGAGCGCAGTTTGCTAACATGATTTGCAGTCATGTTAGCGACGGCAGGGAAGCATTTCAGCAACGTGTGAGTGCGTTTTACATCGACAAGGCGAACAGCAGATGAAGTGCTTCGCACAGTGAAGTCTGGTAAAATAAATTTGTTGTGATGAGGCGCGCGTGCACGTGCGCGCGCGTATGTGTACGTGCCTGGGTTTTCGAGAATGTATGTTGTGTTTGTGCGAGAACGTAAAATAGTGAATAGTCAGAGAGAGAGAGAGAGAGAGAGAGAGAGAGAGAGAGAGAGAGAGAGAGAGAGAGAGAGAGAGAGAGAGAGAGAGAGAGAGAGAGAGAGAGAGAGAGAGAGAGAGAGAGAGAGAGAGAGAGAGAGAGAGAGAGAGAGAGAGAGAGAGAGAGAGAGAGGAGAGAGAGAGAGAGAGAGAGAGAGAGAGAGAGAGAGAGAGAGAGAGAGAGAGAGAGAGAGAGAGAGAGAGAGAGAGAGAGAGAGAGGAGAGAGAGAGAGAGAGAGAGAGAGAGAGAGAGAGAGAGAGAGAGAGAGAGAGAGAGAAGAGAGAGAGAGAGAGAGAGAGAGAGGAGAGAGGAGAGAGGAGAGAGAGAGAGAGAGAGGAGAGAGAGAGAGAGAGAGAGAGAGAGAGAGAGAGAGAGGAAGAGAGAGAGAGAGAGAGAGAGAGAGAGAGAGAGAGAGAGAGAGAGAGAGAGAGAGAGAGAGAGAGAGAGAGAGAGAGAGAGAGAAGAGAGAGAGAGAGAGAAGAGAGAGAGAGAAGAGAGAGAGAGAGAGAGAGAGAGAGAGAGAGAGAGAGGAGAGAGAGAGAGAGAGAGAAGAGAGAGAGAGAGAGAGAGGAGAGAGAAGAGAGAGAGAGAGAGAGAGAGAGAGAGAGAGAGAGAGAGAGGAGAGGATAGAGAGAAGAGAAGAGAGGAGAGAGAGAGAGAGAGAAGAGAGAGAGAGAGAGAGAGAGAAAGGGAGAGGGGAGAAGGAGAGAGAGGGAGAGAAAGAGGGAGAGAGAGAGGGAAGAGAAGGGGAGAGACAGAGGAACTACATACTGCACATTTGTCACTTATTCATGGGAGCTCTCCCCTACCCAGCTCCGTTGCAGCGAATGCCAAGTGGGCCGCGCGATGACTGGCATACTCAGGGTAATGGAAGACGGCATACCTTCGCAGCTGAGCTTCGGAAGGTCAGTGCAGACCAATCTCCGAGGAGACAGCGATGGAAGACACCTCGTACAGTGGCACAAAAGCGGAATAGAGGTGGGGGACATAGTGCGTTGCGAGTTGCAAGTGTTTTGCTGGGTGTGTCCATGACATGCGCGTCGTTCTCCGTGTAGCCTGGAGGTAGGAAGTGCAGCCGCACCTAGAAATCCCTCTCCCTACGTCTCATGGCCACCATCTTAGCTCTTGAATGTGAAGCAGGTGGAGCAGACCGTCTCAGCTGATCAGACGCAGATACACTCGAAGTTGGCGCAGGTGGTGCAAAACAATTGATGGCAATGTCGCACTCCCTTAAATTCAAGGTGCTTTTGGGTGTGCATTGGTTTGTCGAGTCAGTGTGCCGCTTTTCCATGAGTAACGTGCCGACCTAGTGCGATGTCTTTCTCTTTAATTGCGCACGGAAAAGGGAAAAAAACGTGTTCTGTGCTCAAACATCATGAGGCGGGGAAAAACAGTGAAACAGGCGTGTTTCTTTTACCACGTTGCGATAAGTTGTGTCCCGAAACTCGTACTGAGCGATGCAAATTGGCAGGAGTCTGATTCGTATTATAACGTGTCTTTCCGATTACGTGAGGGAACCATAGCTGGATAAATGTCCCCACACTGAGACATTTTTGAAAGACGGCCTGAGACAACGAATCTACGTACGGCCGAAGCCTGCTTGCGTCAGTTAAAATGCGCATCCCAGCTTCAGCTGTTAAAGCGATCCGCTGCGGTACGGGCGGCATTACGTCGAGCAAGAGAGTCTTGTTTCGGCGATGGGAGATGGACATCGACATAGCCACAAGCGGGGGCGGAAATACTCCCAGTATTTGCCCTATGTAGGGTTTTGTCGCCCAATTTGCCCGTATAATATTAATGTGTCATGTAAGAGCCGAAAACCAAAAACAAAACAACGCAATGCACCACGGAGAGTTTCAATTCTCATGTGGAATGTTCCCGTCACCAAAGACTGGATTCAAGAAAAACGGAATAAATGCCATTCAAGCTATGTGATTCAAGGTGACTGCATTGGATTTAAAGGGCTGCCACCAGCGCTTAAATAACGCGAAAGAACTGCACCGACACAACGTGCGTTATGTGGTACGTTATGGACGGTGAATATTGTAATGGTAGTGGGGAACAAGGCATAGTGTGTTGTCAGCATTAATCCCGTTTATGTCACGTGTTGTCCAAAAGTCTTATGTATGTCAAGCCAGCAAGAAAGATTGCTGGGCTAGATGGAAAAGACGAAAACATATTTTATGCCATGTTGATAGGCTTAATTGGCGGGTCATCTGTAACTACGTATAGAACTAGGAGAGCGGGAAGTTCACAACGAACAGTTTACGACACATCGCACGGAACGGATACGAGTTGGGTTTAGTCTGGTCTGACCACCGGTCTGTTCAAGTGGACTGGCCACAGCAAGCAAGACTATTACACTCCAGAAATAATGAAACCGAGGAGGCTTTGCTATATAGTCTTGCTCTGGCGGGGGCGGTCAGATTGTAACACTGTGAAATGTTGGACAGCTAGGCACGTTTAACTCGTTTTTTTCAGTGACAATTTTGAGTCCAGCCCTCCCACTGTAAATTTTGTGCACGCCCCTGTGCTCCAGTGAAGGTAACCGTCCGTTACCGAGTACCCTGGCATTATCAGGAGTCTGGCGTGATGGACCGCAATCATGAAATATGCATTAGACAACCTCGTTGTTTGGTGGCGAGAGATTTCTAGCAGCAGCATAAGAACAAATCGCTGTGCAATGTCGAGGGATTCCCTGCAGGGCGAGGCGCCACAGTGTAATGCAATGAGGGTTATATTGAATGTAGCCAATCGGAATTGCACACTGCGACGACGATGCGCCATTTCTGTACGAAAGAAGATCGCTGCTCTCTCTTAGATCTGGTTACGACGCGTGGCCCATGCTGTTCCATTTCGAGCTCACATGCAGTCTTTCAGCTGGCGCTCCGAAACGTTCGATCCCAATCAACCACAGCATAGCAATCGCATTGTGCCATTTTATATCGCAATGCACTAGCGGGTTCGACGCTAGCTTGAGACGGGGGCGAACAACTACCCTCCCTGGAGAATGTAACTATGTTCGTCCGCCGTATTTTCATAGTCCTGTATTTTCCATGGTTATGCATTAAGCCTTTTCGTTCGCGCTACTCTCCAGACACTCTTTTTCACGCCACATTTTTCATCGGCGAGCCATAGTGCGCACTATGGCGCCGCCAAATGATTATAGGATAAATGCCCTAAGCACACACATGATCATCGCCACAACTAGCCCTATA